ACCAAAAGTGAAACTTTTGAAAGTATTTTTCACTAAAAGTGAAACTTTACAAAATCATCAGCAACTACTGTGTAAAGTTTGCACTGTAGACAATTCAAATATTAGCCCTATAGTATTATCGGTACCTGCAAAAATATATAATAAACAAAACAATGTTTATTTTGTATTACCCTTTATAATTAACTACACCTTTTAATTGATTCTAATAATTCTTTAATCATCTAATAATTTCTTTGATTGATTTGAATTATGTTTAAATGCAAACATTTTATAAGAATAGTAATCTTTCATAATCTTAAAGTTCATATTAAAAATAATTATCTCAATAATCTAAATATTCTATAAATAACTAAGTTACAACCATATTTTACATTGAATATTATAATATAATAATATAAAAAGTAGCTTCATAGATAATTGTTTCTATCATAAACCATAAAATTGTTTTATATCTTAAAATTAGTGAAAACTTGTTACAAATAATTAAAACACATTCGTGTAAATGAATAAAGTATGAACGAATCTTATCAATAGAGTAGTTTTCTATCACAACTTTATAGCCTACAAATATCTAATAAAAAATAAATTAAAAGTATTATAATTACTGGATTAAAGAAAAGTAAATACATTTCGTTTACACACAATAACTCTGTACATTGAACATAACAAATATTATATATTATACAGAATAAAGTAAAAGGATTGATTTAAATTTATAAGGATAACTTTTCAATTAAATTAGTCTCTCATTAATTCTTAATTGATATTCATGTAGCCTAATAAATGGGACTAGGTTAAAACTAAAAACTAAAAATTGCAATTCAATTGTTGGAATTAAAATTGGAAAATTGATTTATGTGGAAATAATGAAATATAAATAGCCTGAACAGTATTGAATAAAATATAGACCAGTAATATAATAAATTTGTATTTTGTATGTAAATGCAGGTCCAGGATCTTGGAACGATCCGGATATGTTGATAATCGGTAAGTATAACCAGGTTGCTTTTTATATTTAATAAATAAATTTTGATTCTAATTATAAATTGCAGGAAATTTTGGTCTCAGTTTAGAGCAAAGCAGAGCACAGATGGCTTTGTGGGCCATTTGGTCGGCCCCTCTGCTTATGTCCAATGATTTGCGACAAATCGGAAGAGAATATAAAGAAAATAAATTGCAGGAAATTTTGGTCTCAGTTTAGAGCAAAGCAGAGCACAGATGGCTTTGTGGGCCATTTGGTCGGCCCCTCTGCTTATGTCCAATGATTTGCGACAAATCGGAAGAGAATATAAAGAAATTCTGCAAAATAAAGACATAATTGCTGTAAATCAGGATAAACTTGGGATTCTGGGATTGAGAGTGTATTCAGTTAAGAGTGTGCCCTCTATTTCAACAACGAGTCAATTAATGAAATCAAATGAAATTACTTTTAGGAGAAAGGAATTGAAGTGTGGGTTAAACCGGTCACACCAATCATTAATACCGTCCATACCTATGCTATTGTTTATTTAAATCGCAATGATTTGGGAACACCTCATATTGTAAGTTTGAAACTTTCTTATATTCATTTAAGATATGGGATGACTTTTCATTTTTATTTTACTGATCGTTACTTTCAATTTGATATTACTGTATAATATATAGTGTACTGTATATCATATTATATAATAAGCTCTAACATTTCTAATAATAATACGATTTAAAATATTTATTAAAGGCAATATAGAAATAGTGAATAAATTCATTTAATAAATTATATTTATGTGGGGTACAGGTATAATCAATTTTTCTTACAATACGGTAGTTTCTGTGA